TTCTTGTAAAGCCCGAAGAACCTGTCCCACGTTAAACGCTAAAGGGATGTTAGCTATTGTTTCTGCGTATGTCCTGCTATTTGGAATGAATGGGCGTATGTACTTAGTGTTCAATCATCCTCATTTCCTATTTGTTGATTATTTGCATAACCAGAGCCACCTATGCTGTTGTTAACTCATTAGCAATGAAGATGATTTTTAAAAAAAAACAATTGAGCTATTTGTGTTTTGTATAAGTAGCATGGCAGGCAAGCACTGTTCCCTCACCTGGGCATTTCCTGTTGTTAGATATTATTGTTCTTGTGTGGTTAATGTTATACTGAAAGCCTGTGAAAAGGATATAAGAGCTAGAAGGTGAGCTCCCTGAGGGCAGGGACCAAATCAGTCTGGTCCTATATCTCCTATACCTGGTCTGGGCCTCACCCGTGGCAGAGACTCAATAATTACGGATTAAGTGAACATGCAGATGAAAGAAGGGCAAGAACTTTGTCAGAACCATTGCCCTGGGTTTCCACCGGGAGAGGAAGGTGATCCGTTGTGGCTGTTAAAGTGACCTGTATCCATCAGCAGCAGAAGGATGAGGTCTTCCCCTGGGCCCGGAATGAGCTCTCAGTGACTGGAGGTCCTGGAGGCAACAGAGCCAGTGCACTCTTTTCTGCTTGTTGAGGAGAACAAGATGGGAAATGAGAAAGCACCCATGATGTAGACACAGGCAGGGGCTGAGAGGGAAGCGGACCAGGCAAGGAGCCAGGACATTTTTACCAGCTCTTGGGGACCACAACTCAAGTAGTTATTGAAGGATCTAAGACTTCCGTTTTGGAGACTTGTCTGTTTTAAAGCTGTTTGTCTCTTTCTGAAATGACTTCCTCGTTGCTCATCCTTAGTTTAACTGGGCCAAGTACTGAGGAGAAGCATGCAAGCAGCCCCAGGGGGCTGACCTGTGGAAGGAGTCTGAGCGGTCGGAGGCCGTGAGAGAAGGTGACAGGGAAGCCCTCTCCCCACCTGGAGAGCCTCTTTCCAGAACTAGTCTCCAGGTCCTCACGTTGTGCTCAGTTCTAACCACGAAGGCTCTTCCCTTATGATTCTCTCCCACCAGAAAATACCCACAGGGCAGACTTCCACTTTGGGCCATGAGCGAGTCCTTACCAGAATTATCCTCCTTCTGTCATAACTAGAAAATTGTCCAAAATACTTGACAAAATATTTTCAGACTTTGGACCACAGGTAGCATAAGTCTTTGCTCCCTGAGAAAAAGACAGCAAGGGAGGTGAGCCTCCCCCGGCCTAGGTTCCCTGCTGACCGAGGCCAAGTGGCAAACTCGCTGAGGTGAGGAGAATTGGAGACTGGGTAGGCCAAGGTGGCCGGAATTTGCAGGGCACAGTATCCGAGAGTACGGAGCTACGCAGAGAAATCTCCAGAAACGTGCATAGGGTTCCCTTGAGTTGTCCGCTGAATACCAATCTGTGTGAACCCCAGGAGGCCAGCTAGAACAACTTCTGAGGAAGGCATCATTACCAGAGCTCATACAGAGCTGGGAATCGTTCAAGTTCCCTCCAGCCAGGGTGGGAGGATGACCTGGGGGACTGAGGGTCCGCCCAGAAAGCTCCTTAGCCTATTCTAACTGGGGGCTGAGCTGGTGGAGGGGACTCGATAACAAAGGTCCAGTCAGTCAGAACCCACCTCGGCGCCCAGAAGCGAGAGGTGGAGGAGAAGGAGGGGAAAAGGAAGGGAAAGACGCTCCATGGAGGGTCGAAGGGGGAGCGCTTCTGACGTGGAGGGTCGAAGGGGGAGCGCTTCCAATATGGAGGGTCGAAGGGGGAGCGCTTCTGACGTGGAGGGTCGAAGGGGGAGCGCTTCTGACGTGGAGGGTCGAAGGGGGAGCGCTTCTAAGAAGAGAAAGACAAGTGATTCACACAGCTGACATCTTACAGAAATGTTAGAGTAACTGTCAGAAAACAATGTAGGTGAAGAAACCACGGTGCCTATGGTGGAGAACGGTGTAACTGCTTTCCATAATTCAAACCCACTACAGTGGTTGACTTGACCACAACACTCGAAGGCGCCAAAGGTCAGTTCTCAGGTATCTGAGACCAGGGAAAAGCAGTTTCTTGTAGGCATTAGAGCGGAGAAGTAGGGCCACCACCCTTCTCCATGGGACTGAATATAGAAGGGGAACCACAGTGATTTGGGGGTGGGTATCACCGGAGTTTTTAGAGAAAACCGGGATGCCTCCTTTGTGCATTTCCAGAAAGTCCACTTTTCTCTGTTGACTTCCTTTGGCAAATTTTTATGGCCTACAGGAAGCTTGGGCCATTAGGTTTTCCCACAGGTGCAGCTATGAGTTTGCGGCCAGGACTAGGCGGTGACCTGGGCCATCCCCACACTCTCCCCGGGTCCTGTGCCTGGGAGTTCAAACCTCTCACTGGGTGACGAGGCCCAGTGACGTCACAGACCTTGTAGCAACTCCGAACGGTCTTCTTATCTGTGAATGGAACTCCAGATGAGAGCACATCCCCAAGTAAGAACTCTGGAGAAGTGAGTAAATAGGTGTTCTTTCCTTTAATGACTATGAAAGCAATTCTCTTACCAGCTGGGCCGTGATTATTGTTCTGCTGCTTGGGACCCTTTCCTTAGGTTACCGAATAGGGCTTAAGACATCATGTGCCACCATGTTCTCGGTCTAGACTGTGGTTATTGACCTCTGGAAGTATTAAGACAGCTTCTCATAAGCCACCCATTCTACCAATTCCCGCTGAAGAATTATCAGACGATCCAATTTTCACCCGTCCTCCCCACGCTCACTGGGTTTTCATGAGAAAGAATATGAGGGGAAGCTTGTTAGCAACATGTTTTTAGCTTTATTGAAATTCTTTCTTATAAAAGGTCTGATGTATTTTAGGCCTGGCCTAATTTCCTTTAGTCCCTGAAATACAGGTCCATGGTTATTTTACTTCCATGTCCTCTTAAGTAGGAATGTACACTAGTAGACTTTTATTTTAAGGTTCAAACACTTATCACCGTTGTTTTTCTTTGATGTAAAGCAAGACTTGTATTTTCCCGAATGAAAAGACCAAGTAAGAAAGTTATGTGGGTCTTCGTTGGTAGGATAACTGGATTCTTTGCCAGAATGGACTTGGGAATTTATATCGTTCAACGTGACATCTTTCCACCTTGAGTATTTTCTTTTTTAATGCAAAATTTGTAGTGTGCTGAGCTATTTATAGTAAAGAGTGCTGTGTTCATATATGCATACATATATTGGCTCTGGGAAAAGATGCATGAGTACATGCGTGTTATGTAAACATAGCAGTTAGTCAGAAGGAGAGTCTCTGATCATTGGGACATTAATGAATAACAAGCATATGGTTCGCAAAGAGCAACCAATAGCACATATTGGTTCCGTTGTCAGCCAGGAACTTTGCTGGTCTTACACCCAGAGGGTCCCAGCTGTCACCTTCCCCAGGCAAGCGGTGCTCACCAGAGAGGACAGGTGATTGTGTATCTGAGGCCTGACTGAATTTGTGTCTCCCTCAAGGGAGGAGGGTCTGCGCTCACTTGCTACCATGTAGGCCACCAGGCCCAGAACACATATATGGCCCAGTCTGACCTCCTCCTCGTGTCAAAAGCAGAATATGATCTCCCCATCACTAGGAAAGGGGTGCAGATTGAGGACCTGCAAAGGCCCATGGTCTCTTCTTCCCCCAGAGATTGTAGGGAATCCTCATTTCCTTTCAATCTTTTTTTTTCTTTTAATATTTATTTATTTGGTTGCAGTGGGTCTCAGTTGAGGCAAGCGGGCTCCTTAGTTGAGGCTCGCGGCCTCCTTAGTTGCGGCTCGCTGGCTCCTTAGTTGCGGCACGTGGGCTCCTTAGTTGCGGCACGCATGTGGGATCTAGTTCCCTGACCAGGGATCGAACCCGGGCCCCCTGCACTGGGAGCACGGAGTCTTAACCACTGCGCCACTAGGGAAGTCCCCTCCTTCCACTCTTATAGGCTCCATCAGGACATGTGTTCTCCTGACCACAGGATGACACCCAAAGAGGCCTGGAAGGTTCAATATCATCACCTCCAAACAGCTCCGAGACACAGGTGACATAGCTTTAACCCTGACTGCCGGATAACTGAGGGTTGATCTTGGTTTAACCCAGACAGCCCCCAGGTCACCCTCCAAATCAGCTTTCCTCCTGTGTGGATGGTTGCCCTGGGAGCCAGTCCTGTCTGACCTTGAACTCACACCCTGTGGGGTTTGGAGTATGTAACCTTCTAGTCACACCCGTCCTGCACCCACGCTTCTTGCTCAAGCCTGGCAAAGACACAGGAAAGTTCAGGTAGCAACAGTGGTCTCAGTCATTCTCGATCTGACTAATAGGTCAGGTGAAGGGGTCAGGTGAATGCTACCTGGCGGTGACGTGGTACCCACGCTAACATGACTTACAGGAATGCTGCAAAGTGATAAACAAATTTAGCACCCAAGATACTATGTAATAGCACGCGTGGCAGTCACTCAATAAATGTTCCTTTTACTCCTCTGAATCCAGACTGGTTCCTGCAGGAGACTTGCATTTCCCTCTGGCTCCTACAGCTGGCCTCTCCTCTACGTCACTTCCCCCAACTAACAAACGCTGTGCAGAGGCAGAGTAAAGGGGGAAAATGAATCACTCAGTATTGTCTCTGGCTGGTCAAAACTCTTGGCCTGAGGTTTGGGAATGATCTGCAGAGTAAACGATCTGGGATGCTTCCCTCCCATCCTCACGGATGCATTTGTGGCCAACATTTATCTGTAACTCACAGACCACAGAGAACATGGATACGGAGGCCTGATCATGGCGTTTTAGAAGACTCGGCAAAATGGCGATCCAGTTGACCAGGGCTCCATGCAGGAACCCTGGTGGAAGGGAGAGACAGGCAGTAGATCCCAGAGTTGTGCTTTGGAGAAGATGTCCAAGGAGAGGAGGATGACAGGCCACCATGGGTCCTGGGATGGGAATCCGGGGGTCTGGGGGTGCTGGGCGGAGAGGCATGGGTCAGGGGAGCCCCGAGCGATGCCCCCACCCCAGGAATGCAGGAAGGAGGCTTGGCGGCTGGGTCCGGACCTTGGGCTGTGCCCACTGTCAGTGTCTCTTGCATGTCACTCCAGCATCCTCAGCGTGTCCGCAGTTTGTCACCCCCCATTTGGAGAAGCTGCAGCGGAAGATGCTTTCCTCCGTGCCCTTGCAGGCGACATCATCCATCCAAATCCTCCCTGTGCCTGTGGAGACAAGTCAACACGATTTCTTAGCGGAGATGCAGGAGGGCAGGACAGACAGGAACACTGCTGTCTGTCCTTGACCCGCTGTCCCGAGCTCTGCTGTCAGTTCTCAAATCTAGTGGTTCCCATCTGCCTTCTCCATTCCACCAAGACCAAATACTTCTTTTCTAGGCTCAGTTTCTTGAGGGAAGAATAAGAATAACTGACAGTGGAGACGGTGGTATTTACTGAGTAGCCCCTATGTGTCAGCATCTTACACATACGATCTTCATCCATTCTCACCATGGTGCTGTGAGATAGCCATGAATAAACCCTTTTCCTAGATGGGAAAACTGAGGTTCAGATGGCAACTGGTGCAAGGTTGCTCAGCTTGTAAGTGGCAGAGTCTGAACTCAAGCCCAAGTCTTTTTTTTTTTTTTTT